AACCCAAAGGCGTGGAGGGAGCTCGGTGATTCTACATCAGTGAAGAAGCTTTCGGTATAGTGAACGAAAGACGTGGAAGGAACAGCTCGATTTTGACCTGAACTGGATGGAGATAGCACGTGGCGGAAATTGTGGTGAAGCCATATTCTCGCACTTTGAAATTCTTTGCTTTCCCAATCTGATTTACTGATTGACTGGGAGAAAAAGGAATAGAAGTGTGCCGAAGTATCGCGGGTCACGTGCCCCGAGTTTCTACTTGGTTCGGTTCCATATTGACAATTTAGCTTCGAAAGCGAGATTTCATAATTGCGTTCTATTAGTGACTATAGTTCTTCTTTCAGGTGAAGGTGGAGGATCCGTTCGTTTGGCATCAGGCCAGCGAGTTGAACGGGATATCGTTAGGGCACTGGATCCGGCAGAACGTAAGAGGGCGTAGTGCAAGAGATGCACTTCGAGATCGCCGCTCGAGCCACTTATGGCGCAGAACCGAGTAGGCAAGTTTTTTCTAACATACAGGGTATGTATGGTAAGCAAGCATTTATGGCTCATAAACAGAGTGAAACACGACCCAAGATATTATCTATATACCGAAACAATGACATAGCTGTAAAACTGTTAGAGGGCGCCGCCGGCTCCAGTTGCAGCTCACACAAGGGTTGGTGTGCTTTGAAAGCCGGTTTCAAACCTTGCGAATCCAGCGGTTTGCTAGTAGCGAGTCGGCGGAGTCTCTAGTTGCGAATCTATGGACTCGTGCCAGCGAATCGCTGGATTCGCAAAGTCTGATCGGCCGAAGGTGGCACGCACCAGGTCCACTTTTCACGAAGAAAAATATCGCAAGAAGATAAATATCGAACAAATAACTACTTGACACCAGAACTGTGAACTCGACAGAATTCAAATTATTGCCGGACCCTTCTCTACCTTTCTCTTTTTAAGTTGGAATGTTTTCTTACTTGACAGGGCCCGGCTCATTAAATGGCGAAAAAGACGTCACGATCAATTGAGGGCGTGATCCCGATGGCTGCAGGGCGGTGAAGCTTCATTGCCGTCACCGGACGTCACTACTGAAAGGGCGCTAAGAGACGATCTCAACCGCGACCCCAGTGCGCTGAGGGATCACTCCGCCAGTGAGGTTCCAGGTGTACTGTCAAGCGAAGGCCTTCGATTTTGGCACATGAAAGCACAACCCAGGCAGAACTCGTGTGAACGATTCCTTTTTGTCTGTGAGATGACCCTATGGGAAAATCACAGATATGGTACTCACGTGCCTGGAAATCCCGAAAAGGCGCTAGGGCCTTGAAAAGTGAGCTTCAGCAGCTTAAGTTTTCTCCGTCCACAGCAGGCTGTTGTCTGCCGTTCTCTCATTTGTTGCGCTCTAACCCCTCATACTCCTCTCTCAGCTCTCATTCCCCCATTGAGTTTTTTGCAAAAGCGAGCAAGCCTCTGCCTAAGCGTTTTCGACAGATTCTTTTTTTTTTTATAGCCGATCCATTTCGCACCAATACTTTCATATTCGCGTGCAAGAACCACCCGTATGACCGTATGATCCAAGCATGGTGCACTATTTACCAATTAATAGATTTGTATTTCAAAAGGTTCTCTTAGGGGAAGGATCAAAATGATGTGTTTTTCAGGGTGAACATGCTGTATCATCTTGCATTCTGTAAATCCACAGGGATGTTCAGCAATATTATGGATCTTAACGGTGATGGAGCGCAAGCCATGCGAGTGCAGGTAATCCCACGAGCTCGCTTCACTAGCATAAGGGCTGGTGTCAGAGTCCGCGATCCGTCGCGCGATTCGCACGACTCGCGCGACGGATCACAGAATTCATAAGTGTTTTGATTCAACACTGCGAGGTCTCTCCAATCCCGCCGCCATTTCTGTTTGATGGTTGAATGACGAATGGTTATCACTCTACTTCTTTCATTTGTATTCTCAAAAGGGGCACCTGCGATTTTTGCGAGTGACGCAATTCGCGCGACGCATCGCGGACTCTGACACAGCTCGAGAGAGGATGACTATAAACTGCTTTGCATAATTGAAATCCTACCTTTGAATTTCTGGAAAATCGTATAATAAAGAAAGCTTTTTGAAAGGGAAATTGTGCCAAATATTAATGCAGTCCTGGCACAATAAACACCGCAGAACTCCCGGTTTAAATACAATGCAATTTTTTCATACAGAATTTTGAAAACAAATAACCAACCCTTGGGCGCGTTCCGCACCAGCCAATTGGCCATTCCACCACATGTTTTCCCATCGCCTTTCACTTCTGCTTTGTGAAACTGCTTCTGCTGACTTTTCTTTTGAAGGTGATGGTAAAAGGAATTTCGCTTTCAGACTTTGAAAAAAGGCCGGTATTACCAGTTACTGCCCGAAACGTTTAATCGCTCGTAATCGTGCGGAATTACCGCCGTAACCTACAGTTTCTTCAAAAAAAAAACTCGTGCTAGGTGCAACTAAGAAGAGCTCTGCGAACCATTTTCGGCCTTTCGATCGGAAAATGCTGCTTCCTCAGAGAAACATCCATTTGCTTGAAGAAGCAGCCTTTGTTTTGAATGCAGATTTTACCAAGTCGTGCTGGAAAATCTAACGTTGTCAGAATTTAATTTTTAACGGGCTAATCTCTACCTTGTGAGGAAGAACTCCAAGTTCACTTCGAGAGAATAATGGGAAAGGCATTACTTAAAACAAGAAATCATGGCGAAAACCGAGCCGCCTTTGCTGGGAGATTCAGAAAACCGGCTGACCGCCCAACTGGCTGAGCCCTTCTGTTCATGTTTCTTTTCTTAGTGTTGTGATGAGTGGAGAGAGCAGGTTCCCAAAAAAGAGACATTTCCTAGGAACGCGGCTTGGTTTTGCCACCGTCGCCGTTCCTTTAGATGATGCATTTTGAGGCATCAAAGATGAACTCTGAGTTGTGTGACAAACCCTGAAACTAATCCATTGAGAAATAAGGTTTCGAGGAAGGTTTGATTCCCCTGTACAACTTGGTACAGTTTTATGTTGGCTCTCCAAAATGCGGCGCTAGCGGTGTTCTGAAGACTTATGAAGAAAATCGTGTTTTCAAATTGAAATCCGGTTTTCGCAAGCTCGCATTGTATTTCATTCCATTACGTTCCCTTTGAGGATTCCCGAAAAACTCGTAAAACATTTTGTTATACGGGTTTCCCCCAGAAATTCATTGGTAGGATTATAATTATGCGGAGTTTTGTGCAGTTTTATGCTGTCAAAAAGTCCAGTGAAAATTGCTTCTGTCAAATAAGTTCTAGGGCGGAACAGAACAAATTGCCAAGCAGCTTGCCAACGAAGATCGGCAAGGATCGAATCATTCTCAACAGAGCCGTCGAGCGCTTCGAGGTGGACGAAAGCAGCGGCATCACCAGGGTCCACACTTATTCCACCAATGCTGCCTGTGAAAAGGTGATTCTTTTTCATCCTGAAATCGTGTGATTGTGTCTTAAACGTCACTTGGACATATCAAAGTTCCCCTCTCCCACCAGTAATTTTTCCATTTCCATACAACAGGCATTATAAAATACCACGACGCTCTTAGAATACACAAGGAAACCCGGTAAAATGGATCTATCAAGGCGATCCCAGGATCAAATCGGTACAGTTCTCGCAAACGAATATGAAAGTATTTGTGCGGATTGCGCTGGCAGTGAAGACAAAGGAAATCTGTCAAAACGCTTGAAAGCGTTCCATAGGCATTGTTCTCCTTCGCATGCGACCGCGCACGGCAATGATGAAGACAAAGCGCGGAGGAGAGAGTATTAGCCAGAGAGTGAGACGGACCACGCCCAGCAGACAGGGAAAACTTAAGCTGTTGAAGCTAAATGTGCGGGGCCTTAGCGTTCTTATTGGTTTTCATGCACGGGAGTTCCACATCTGTGATTTGCTTCCAAGTTTCTATCCTACAGACCGGAGGGTGTCATTCACCAGATCCGACTCTGCCTAATTGTGCTATTTAAATTGAAAGTTTCCCTGATGATCACAAAGCTATGCGAAGAGCACGCCGACTACTTCATTTGCCATAATGGCAGTTTTCACAACCTGCTTTGTAGACCCTTAGCGCAAAATTATGACTCTAACTAATATAGCCCACATGGTGAATTATTTCAACTCTTTCCTAACTACTCGTGACAAATCCGGTGGTTCAGGAAAAACGGGAGTAAGAACTGCAGTGAGAAAAAAAAGATCCTGAAAAAGCAAACCCCTGCCTGATGAATGGAACGGAGATATAGTAGTTCGATTATGCTGAGACAAATGTCGTTTTTTCGAGCAGCACTAGTTTCCATTGGATCACCTGGTTTTTGGATTGGTATTTCGTATATTTTTTTTTGCGAGCGGCATTACTGCAATGTGCTCGCCGTATGGTTGTTAGGTACAAAAATACATAGTACCTTACTTTAGATCGTCTACACTTGCTCACAAGTAATCTGTGCCATTCCACTAAATCAATGTGCAAAGATCTCATTTTCTCCTCCACTGCCACACCTCAAGGTAATCACCTAATATCTGTACATCATACCGGTGCAAAATAATTTGAGCATCATTTTTCACTTCATTTTCAGCAACGTCTGTTTGACTCATGTATTCCTGGGAACATGATCAAGTTCGTGATCACCTTCGAGACTGCTTTCTGGAGAGGAGAGGGTTGGTCTGGGGAACTGATCAGCACCGGTCGTACATCGGTTCCAAACGAGGTAGAGTTACCAGTTACCCAACCTCAAGATTTGATCATTTGTCCCCGCAGAGCTGTTCCTTGGATTCAATTCACTTAACCACGTGTTTTTAAGGTGCTCCCAGTCAACTGTACGTTCGACTACACCTCCATCACGGGGATTCCAGCATTGATAGGATTCATGAACGAGGAATACATAGGTAAAACAGAAGTGCGGGACTGAGGTTCGCCTTCGCTGGGCGGTCGCTGAAGGCCGAAGAGAATTGAAAACTTGCTTGGATTGATGGTTTCGAGCGAATTTTGGTAAAACTTCAACTGGAGGGTTACTGATGGTCCTGGTGATGACACCTACTGTTGGCGCCAGCCCTATGTGGAGCAAATCTGAGAGCTCCAAGCTAAAATGCAAAAATTTGGTCATCACGGAGAATTAAATTGATCCTTGACCATTTCCGTGCCATTGCTTGCAAAGCCGCCAGCAAGTTGGTCCCTAAGTTGTAATCCTCAGTCCCCATGTAAAACCATCTTCTAAAACTGCGAAACACACCCACAGAGACCGTCCCTTACGAGTTTATTTAGCCACAGAGAGATGCACACTGAATAAGAAGCACCTGAATAAATAAAACAGAGTTCTCCGAGGGCAAGTTCGCGCTTACCAGTAGTCGAGTGAAGACCGTTTGATGACCATAAAAGTTTCATTGATTGAATGAAACTCAAACCTAATAACCTCCGATAGGCGACAGCAATCCACGATAACATTACAAAATTTTTAAGTATGACATCCCTCCAGTCTGTGATTGTTTTCGTAACCTCCTAACAAAACCCTCATTGAACTGAGAAACCTGTACTTGTAACTACGATTTCCGGGAGGAAAGCCTCTACCATTCAGATATGACGAAGGAGGATCGGTGTAACGCAGTTGTTCAAGACCTGATGCGAGTTTTCGGCGAACGAGCCATGGTTCAGTTTCTGGATTATCGGGAAAAGGCCAGTGAGCCATTTTTCTATACAATGTTGTGTCTGAAGAACATCCACAGCTTGAGCGCATTCATGTAAAATTACCCTGCTCCTTTTCAGGTGTGGAGTAGGGAGCCATTCATCGGTGGTGCTCCCAGCGTCTTCATGCCTTGTGGAACGATGGAATCGTGGCTTACAACACGTGAACCATTCATGACGTGAGGTTTTCTCGACGATAAGCCTTCGGGAGCTGGTTGCTAGGTTAGGTGCTGATACTGGATGAGCTCTTCACATAGTTTGTGCGCACAATTTCACAACTAAAACCCTAGTTTTGCTAGTCCGAGGCATCAGAGTGAAGATGGTCCGGATATTTCTCAACGATGCTCCAACTACTGGCTTTTTTATGCATCACCTGTGAAAGCTCTCCGAGACTGATCTAACCCTTTTCGGCGGAAATCGCCTCTTCTGTCCTTACTCAGATCGACGTCTCAGGGCTGCGGGTTCTCGCTCGATCACAGTGGTAAGGTCTCAAGAGGTGTCATGGCGGGTAACTCCGATAGGCACCAGCTCACTTGGGGGAAATCGTTGGAGAGGGAGCGATCCCAGTGATTCGCAACAATTCCGTTTCTCATGGTTTTCTTCATCTGTGCACCCCCCACCTCTGTCTTGATTTCTAATGGGCTAACTTCTGATCATAGGCTCTTAAATGAATATAGCAAGAAAATCAAACGCAAGGAAATGCTTCACTAATGCACGTGTTCAAGCATTCACTTCGCTGGAGCCGAAACAGCCTCAAAATGGATTGGGTACATGGACGGTGCAGTGGAGAGCGGGTTT